AGCCCTGTGTGGCATATAGTAAATGCTTCATAAATACTTGTGGAATGAATGAATGAACAACATAAAAATAGAGGTAATATAAGAACGAAGATTGACCTTATACTTTGAAATCTTTCTACACTCCTTACCTTCTATACCTGTATGTTACCTGCCACTAAGACCTCTCATTTCCCATTGGCACTATTTCAGATATAACTTGTCCGCCATTCATATACTCTGTCTTATACCTTTAAAAAATTAAAAAAACACTTTTTAAAATTATGGTAGAATATAGATAACATAAAATTTACTATTTTAAGCACTTCAGTGTACAATTTACTGGCATTAAAAACACTAACAATAATGTGCAATCATTACTACCATCCATTTCCAGAACTCTTTCATCATTCCAAAGAGGAATTCTGTATCCATTAAACAATAACTCCCCATTTCCTCTCCCCAGTCTGAGTAACCTGTATTCTACTTTATGTCTCTATGCATTTGCCTATTCTAGGTAGCTCATATAAGTGGAATATAGTATTTATCCTTTTGTGACTGGCTTATTTTACTTAGCTAATTTATTTGAGGTCATCCATGTGATAGCATGTATCAGAATTTTCTTCTTCTTATGGTTGGACAGCATTCCATTGTATGTACACACATTTTAAAATCCATTCATCTATCGACAGACATGGGTTGTTTCCACCTTTTGGTTGTTGTGATTAATTTTGCTTTTGAACATTGGGGTACAAATATCTGTTTGAGTCCCTGTTCTCAGTTCTTTTGGATGTATGCCTAGGAGTGGGATGGCTGAATTATATAGTAATTCTATATTGAACTTTTGAGGAACCATTAAACTATTTTTCACAGCAACTGTACTACTTTGCATTTCCATCAGCAACGCATAAGAATTCCCCTTTCTTCACACCTCCACCATCTCTTACTTTACCCCGGTTTTATTCGATAATAATCTTCTCAATGGCTGTAAAACGACATCTCATTGTGGTTCACATAGCCTTTTACCCAACGCCTGGACTGAGGAAAGCATCTCCTTGGGAATGTACCTGCCCTCCATAGTTGCCCTTCCTCCTCTATTTGACCATCGTTGCTCATGGAATTTTGTGGAACACCACCCTGATGTAGATTTGAGCAATGTTTTTACAAAGATGATGATGAAAACAATGAGATTAGCTGGGCTCGGTGGCTCAGCCTGTCATCCCGCGCCTTTGGGAGGCTGAGGTGAGTGGATTGCCTGAGCCCGCGGATTTGAGACCCGCCTGGGCAGGCGAGACCTCATCTCTACAGTAAATCAAAAAATCAGCCGGGCGTGGTAGCGCATGCCTGTAATTCCGGCTACATGGAAGGCTGAGGCGGAAGGATCACCGGAGCCCAGCAGGTCGAGGCTGCGGTGGCTGGGAGCGGCCACTGCCCTCCGGTCTGGGCAACAGAGTGAGACTCCAACTCAAAAAAAAAAGAAAACAATGAGACAGCAAAGCATGTATAGAGAAGAGAGCATCGAAAAAGAAGATTAAGGCAGATTATTTGGAAATAAATTTAAAGGATGCGGTGGCGGTGGGGAGCGGATCAGAATATAGGATACTGACAGGAGGTCTCCTCAGCCCAGGGATGAGATAATTTTGAAGAGAAAGTGCTCTGGAGTTGCAGAGTCCAGTGTTTTGAAGAGCAATCGCTGGATTTGGGGAATTCATAGTAAGAAATTCATAACATTTGAGAATACAGTTTGAGTTTACTGGAGGAGGTAAGGTAGAATAAAATACCAAAGAATTGACAAAAGAATGGGGGATTATTATAATTTCAAGATGATTCGCAGTAGAGGAAAGGGGGAGGAGAGAAGAGCTGGGGGAGGGTTTTTTAAAAACGGGAAAACAAGAGGAACAGCCCAGCCACAGAGACAAGCCTCGGGCTGGGTGCTTCTTGGGACTACTGACGTTGGCTTCAGCTGACACCCTAAGCCAGGCAGATCCTAACAAGAGATATTTCCTTCTATCTTAGAGCGGTAGATCCTTTACCTCTTTGAACACCAGCACTCCGCCAAGATTTCACTTTGAAAAGCAGATGAAGAGAGGAAGACAGCATTGTTACAGCCTTGACCTTAAGGAGCTAAGCAGTAAAAATGTTCAACCTGTAAATCTCAGAGGAGGATTTAATCTCTCCTGTGAGAAACGGAGCTTCGGTTAAAAAAAAAAGAAGTTATTTACTCTTCTTAGTGACATCACTTCCCAGGCTTTGTGCGCCCAGAAGTCCTTTAATATGTCAATGGTCCCAACAACATAGTGATTAGAGATGTTAAATGTCACCTGAAGGAGTCTTGACTGAAGAGACATTAGGGGCAATGTATTAAATGTCCCGAGGGGATCTCAAGGTCGCAAGAAAAGCACACCATCAGTTCAGGCTACAGTTGTCTATGGTTGCAGAGGGGGATCTCATGCTGATATCTGATGATTTGAATTCTGACATACCTTTGCATGAAGACTTGTTGGCAAGATTAGGAGAAGCAACCAAACCTGATGCAATAATGGACCAGATTAGGCCTACTCTAGTGACTGGCTACTACCCTTATATGCCTATGAAGACGTCTGTAGTAGTCAGCTGGAGGTCAGAGTTCTTCTTGCTCAAAGGAAGACAGATCCAAGAATCCAAGACTTCTAATGCAAGGCCTCGAGTCTCCTTTCAGTAGAAAATTGAATCTCTGAAACTTTCTAGGTCTTCCTCAAGTTGCCTTCTCAAATATTGTTTAGTGTTATAAGAAATTCTTAGACATAGTCCAAAAGACCACCCTGATGCAGAACTTCTGGAGAATGCTGTATTGATCACACAAGACGTTTCCTCTGACAGTAGGTTAAAGAAAGGCAAATCAGAGTGCTAGTATTTTATTGACAAACTGGAGTAACTGGATGAAAAAGTGGAAGGATCATAGAATTGAAACAAACAAATTAGTGCTCTGAAATAGGGAATTGAATATAATGGACATAAACTTTATATTTCCCTGTTTTGAGACTTGGTTTTGACTTACTTTGTATAAGAAACATAAAAAGTGCATTATTCTTAACCGGATTACTGCCAACCAGTCCTACTCTAAGAGCTCGTCTCTGAAGACCTGTGGGAGGAAGATGTGAGAATGGGGAGATCTTTTCGAAGGATGTTCAGTCATTCAGGTAAAGCTACAAATATCTTGGGAGTTCACTCCCAAGACCTTTCTCTGGGCTGGATTCACACTTCGCAAGCCGAAGGCGTGTTTCCTAAGTAGCAGGGCCCAACTGTATTTAAGTCTCTGCTGCTCCTTTTCAGCAGGGCTCCGGTCCAACAGAGTTTAAGGGTTTGCTGGAGCTCCGTGGAGAGCCAGAAGAGAATAACCCCTCTGTCTGGAACATCAAAGTCCAGAGAAGAGACTCCCCGGTTTCTGGTGTTATTCAAATAGAAGTTGAAGAAAAGCTTCAGAATGCAGTTTCCCTATACAAACAGCAGAAGATGCCGAGAGTGCAGAAACGCACAGAACACAATCTGGGCTGCAAAAAGCAAGGGGCCATGCCCAGTCACATGGCAAATGCAGAGATTTTGGGACAAGTAGAGCCCTGTGTATTAACTGGCGAATAGACTTATTTATGCCTGTGTACAGAGTTGATTGTTATTTTTATTTTTTCTTGAAATGTAAGCATGAGAGAATGGTAGGGTTGTTTATACCAGTCTTAACATTTTCTGTTTTGTTGATATTGTTAGAATGGCAGCTAAAGGTATATAGACCACTAAATTAATACTTAAAAAGATAAGTTTTCTCAGAGTTAATTTAGAACCCAAGTCTGGTATTCTTAATCAAATGAAATATTTATGAAATGGATTTTCTCTTAATTCTGGATTCTTCATGACTTTACAGTATCAACAAGTTGTGGTATTTACAATATTTGTCAAAAGTTAAAATTTTGCAAATATGAGGCGATTACCATACTCCTTTAATAAACTTCGCATGCAAAACTTTAAGCTTTAACATTGGCATTTAGATTCTGCATGAAGTATGTGTTTGTAGTATTTAAAATGCACGCGGAAACACAACTTCTTTGAAAAATAGACCCTAAAACTTGATAGATTTTTCATTTCACCAACGGAAATGCTTTATCTTAGTTTTTTCCACTGCGCACTCTTCATTTTTCCTTCATCTAACCTGCCCATTAATATCTTTCATTATAAGGTAGATTTGCTGTTTGCTTTTATTTATTCACTTATTTTTTACCTTGTAGTCTTTTAAAATTGGCATGTATTTAAGGTATTTTTCTTCCTTGATTGAAAACGTGTGTATATTTAATTATATCAGTTTACCAAATGAAAATAAGTCATACTGGTTTTGGGCCATTAAGATAAGTGCGGTTTTTAAAACACAACCTTTTAGGGTAATAAACACATGTGAAATGACTTATGGTATTTTAGACTATGAAAGAGATTGCCATGAGGCATTCACTGGAAATTTTGCTTTGTATAAAAAGCAAGAAAAAAGACAAATAATAATTAAAAAAAGAACGAAAAAGAAAAGAGGAAATTAGAGTAGTTTTGTCTTAAAGTAAAGAAGAAAAAAAGTCTGGTTGTACCAGAATGTGAAAAGATAGTAGGCTGGGCTCGGTGGCTCAGCCTGTAATCCCAGCACCTTGGGAGGCTGAAGCGAGTGGATTGCCTGAGCCTGTGGGTTCGAGGCCCACCCAGGCAACTTGGCGAGACCTCATCTCTACAATAAATAAAAAGTCAGCCGGGCGTGGTAGCGCGTGCCTGTAGTTCCAGCTACTTGGACGGCTGAGGCGGAAGGATCGCCGGAGCCCAGCAAGTCAACGCTGCGGTGGCTAGGAGCGGCCACTGCACTCCAGTCTGGGTGACAGAGTGAGACTCCAACTCACACACACAAAAAAGATAATAAAAGCTACGTTTGGGGTGTACAGTAAGTCCTAGAAGCCTTGAGGAAAAGTAAACTTTATTTCTCTGCAAATAGTTTGAAATGAAACAATAAAATGCATTGAAAATTTGGTAGCCTTTGATCGATTTTGATGAATTTATTCATAAAACGGAAAACAGGCCGATGAATGCTGCAAAATGTTACATGGGCAACAGATAGAAAAAGGGAAATTGTATTTTTTTTGTTAAGATAACGTTGAGATCACAGGCTTTAAAAAAGGTGTTGGTTTGGACCAGGAACTCCATGCTCTGGCTGTCCTGGTGATAAATCCAAGTGCAGGTTGAACATCATGTAAAGTATGTTTGGCCTGTGGAATTGGAAATTGGAAAAGGCTAGAAGCAGTTCGATCTGATACATTCTCTGCATACATGAGCGATAGTTAAACAAACAAAAAGCACACAGAAAACATGAGGCAGAAAAAGCCAGATTTGGGGCATTGATGGAAGAACCAACGGAGTGGCAGGGAAGAGGGAGGTGAGGCATGGGGGAGATCCAGGGTGTGCCTAAGGTTGCTTCCTCTGAGCGTGGAGAGATACAAAGGGTAGAGAGCTGGGAGTTCTGGGGGGGAGAGAATTCCAGGAGTTCTGTGAGATGGCCTTGATCTTAGGCAAGCGGGAGGAGGCACAGACACTCTTTCTGAGAGGAAGGAAGAGGCTAGCCTGGAGGTTTGATCAGGGAGATACTTGTGTGAGTGCAACGGACGTGAGGCCGGCAGCCCATGGCAGGCAACGTGAATGCGGCTCGTGAGTTTCTCTAAAAGTAATGAAGAGGAGAGGACAGGGGGTCATTGATATAGAGGGAGGAGTGAGCCCTGGGCTGTTTTTAAGCGACCTCCCATATGACCCTGTAATTCCCCTACTGGGAATATACCCTGAAGAACTCAAATCACTCTATCAAAAAGATACCTGCACAGGAATGTTTATCGCAGCGTTGTTCACAATAGCAAGAACCTGGAACCAACCATGCTGTCCATCAAAGGAGGACTGGATTAAAAAAATGTGGTACATATATACACGATGGAATACTACGCAGCCTTAAAAAAAATAAAATCATGAATTTCGCAGCAACCTGGATGGAGCTAGAGTCTATAATACTGAGTGACCTCTCACGGAAACAAAGATCTGAGCATCACGTGTTCTCACTCATATCGTGGACCTTGATCATCTACCATAATACTTCAAAAAAGAAAAAAGGACTGACAGTGGCGGGAAACTATGGGGGGCAGGGAGGGGAAGGGAGGTGGGATTACCGGTAGTCAATGTCGGTCTTGACATTGCCTGAACGATGCACATTTGTATACCTAACCCTTAACTGTACCCCACAATTTTATAATAAAAAACATGTTCAGGAAAACAAAGAAAAAGAAAAGAGGACAGGGCTCAGGTCGTGGGACCCGTGAGCTTCCCCTCCTTCAAAATCCACATGCTGTCGGCTTCGCAGACACTTGTGAGGGCGTTGGCGCTCACGGGGGCGGGGGCGGGTGGGCAGGCCCGGACCTGCTCTTGTCTCGCCGCTTGGCCTCTCTCCCTCGCTGCGGACGCGCTTCATTCGGTTGGGCGCGCCTTCGGGGGCCTCCGCTGGCACAACGTGGGCTCTAACATTTTCTCCCATGCATTTATTCTGTGATCCTGGAAGCAAGGCACAGAAGGAAACAAGGGCTACGCAAAGCGGACGGGCGGAGGGAAAGGGAAGCCCCCAGCCACACGTGTCCCCCGCGTCCTTCTAGCCGTCTTCTGCCAGCTGGCTCAGGCGGGGGCAGGCGTCGTCTGTCGTCTCTTTCCCGCCTCACTGTAAAGATGTGGGGCCCAGTTCGGGGCTAGTAGACGAACAGCGATCGTGCCGGGCCCCTCGCCGAGGAGGTGTGCCCCCCTCCCCGGGCGGTCTCCCCCCTCCGCCCCCCGCTGGCCGAGGAGA